GTGAAATCGAAATTGCTGAATAGCACCGACGGGGTATAACTATTTAGGATGTGCCTATAAATGGCAGATATCCGAGTAAAATTCATTAACAGACGTATATGGAAGCGACAACAACGGAAAATAAAAAATGCAAAAACGTGCAAGCCGAGGGGAGTCGAACCATCATCCCCCATCCCCACTGCCTGCTTGAGAATCCTCCACGCTATCCACTAGGCCATCCGATCGTTGGCGCAGCTACCACTTCGATTGCTTAAGAGCCCATTCCAACTAGCCGTCGACTCTTAACTACGTGCCACAAGTAAGACCCCATTGGCGACTACTTTTCTCATCGATACCAGTACAACCTTTATAAGGACCCTATAGGCAGCAACTGGCCGAAGTTGCGAGTGATTTAGAGCCCATTCAGGCTCAAAAACAGTCGGTTTCCATGGACTCCATTTTTGGCATTCCCAGAGGCGTTCAGGAAAAATGAACACCAGTTTGGTACTCCATGCACGTGACCCCACATCATGCAAAAAACCGTTTTCAAAAAGCGCTCCACGTCCTGAACGACCTCCCTAGTTAGTTCCACCTGGTGGCCCATCGGAGCAAGGCGTCCCCAGTCGCACTAACCTTAAAAATTCTGTCCTGTTAGCGAATTCAGTCAACCATCTCCATTTTTCAGAATACCTTATTCAGGCCATGCTTGGTTTGAGTAAACAAAGTTTTCATCAACAATTCGAAAATTTTAGGTAAATTTATTAGAAAGTGCGCGACTTGGGCTTGTTCCAAGTTTTTTTCCACGGTTGTAAGCAGGAGCGTTAACAACTTGAGAACATTGAGCGGAGACGAGAATCTCGACAGTGTAATAGAACCGAATAAGCAGAATCATGACATGCTCAGTGACTTTAATGGAGGTGCCGCTTCGAAAACGTGAACTTGCAAGCAACTTAGAAGACTGCAATTCTGGAGAATTTACTTGTTTGAGTTTAGCTACGGGACCTCTACGCATTGAATGACTGTGACCGTTCCTCCGTCCTAGTGCCAAAATGGATGAAGCTGTGGGGAGACAAAGTTACTGGTGCGTTACAGTTTTATTCTCATCTTATAGTGCGGCAGTGTGTAGTTTCACATTCATGGTGAAAAATACAAGCCTTTGGATTGGATTTATTCCTAGCTCGCGGTTTAGTTTTGGCATGCTAAATTTATAGGCTATTGCGTTTTGCCGCAGCAGTAAGCACTCTCCTTATACTACGACGAAGGTGGACCAATCAAATAACCCGCGTACATGTTCTGTGTGTGTCGCGAAGCAGCGACACTGATTTTCTTCATATATTTGATTTGTTTTCCTTCATTAATTTCTGGATTTTTTTCCGCAGAATTCCTGGACAAGAGCAGTAGCAAGGGTTTAAAGGCAGACCCGTTTGAAAAGCGCAGTTTCGCTCAACAGCTCAAGTGTTTCGCAAGAACAAACTTTTTTTCTTGTTTTGTTAGAACACGTGACTTTCTTTCCGTTTGGTTGATTCAGTGCGCCTGCAGCCCTTCCATTTGGCACGGCGATCGCTCTGGCCCGACTTTCATTCTCGAATTGCATGACCTATCCTGCACATCTTACCGCTGAGACCTTGTCGATTGCGTCTGCGACCCAGATCTTCTACGGATCTGTTGACTTAATATGGAGCTTCAAATACTCTCCATCACATGCATGTAGCGGGAAACTCTGAGCAGTGCTCTTTCGAAACGCGTTGACTGACACTGACAGCTTGTTATACTCCCTGCGCCGAGTCCAGTTCCTTAACAAGGGAGGCCATTCAAGTCATGGCGCGTTTTTTAGGAATGGTTTGTTGCATGTTATAGGGGTCCAATGCAAGGATCATCAGAACGGGTTTCATTTTTGTTAGCATTCATGAGAATGCCAAAGAAAAGTGAAAAAAAAATTGACAAGGCCATCTCCCTTCTCAGAAGGTTCGTTAACTGTAACTTTTAGCAAACACATTTTATGAGGTGCATCGAAAAGAGAGCAAAATAAAGCTAAAAAGAGAAACCTCACTTGGCATGGAGAGAGGTAGTATCAATGTTTCTTCAGTGATTCCCGTAGCCACACTTACGTGGTCAATGGGTGGTGGATTGGGTAACGCGATGGGTTCCCGAACCGTGAGGTAGTCTGTGGATCGGGTCTGCTTGGGGGGGGGGAACTTCTGCAATTTTCGGATTTCCATCTCCTTGTGTTCCTGCATGCGTGATGATCTATACAACCCGGATATATAGCATTCAAGGGTGCAGGGAGGCGGAGGTGGTGTAGTGACAAGTGGCGCGCTTACCACTCGCGCGGCGCCGGGTTCGAATCCCGGGT